AGAAAGCAACCGACAAGAGAATTGTAGAAAACTGATCACACAAGCCATGGACCTATTTGTACTTGTATACAAAAGTGACGTAAACTTTGTAAAATATCAAAATTGTCAAAAATGTGTTTTTCTGTATTCAAGTGTGTAGCATAATTAGAATCTAGACTATTGTTTTTAAACGCTCTTTTATGTTCGTTAATGCATTTCTTGAAAGATCTAAATGTTTGTTCAATGTAAAGTTTAGGACAAGATCCGCATTTCAATCTGTAGACACCTGATTTTTGAGATTTATTGTTTTTGACATTTTGACAAATGTTTTGAAGCTTTTTCACTGGGTTCTCCTATGTATGCAATTGTTTTAAATTGTTCGTGTTCGGTATTAGGATTCGGATAAATAGACTTTACTGTTGTCTGGATTTGTTTTGTATTTATAATTTTATCGATAATGTAATTTGATGATTTGATGACCGTAGCCGTTGTTCGGTGCAATTTGTTTAATGATATTAAGTTCTTTGTTGTAATTTTCTGTTGAGAGTGGCGTAAGAAGAAGTGTATAAAAGAGTGAAATGCAGCCATTTTGTAATGGGTCTTACATATGACTGTGTCCGTGTGTGAAGGTTTATGGTAAATGGAAAAGTCTAATTTGTTTTGCGTATTCGTAATAGTTAAGTCTAAAAAATTAATAGAGTAATCCTGTTCAATCTCGATAGTGAATATAATACGATTATGTAATGAATTAATATAATTTAAAAAAGAAGTCTGTCCGTTCCAACAAAGCAAGCAAAGACATCATCCACGTATTTATACCACCATAGAAAACTTATACTTAAAGGATGTTCTAGTATAATATTTTCCAAATTCCAAAAAGTCGGCACTTACCTTATGAAATGGTACATGCGCGTTAATAAATTGATCCATCGTAGACCTATATCAAGGCTAACGCCAAGAAAGTTATCATTGCGACTATTAAAATCATGTCGGCTGGGTTATTTTCTGCGCTTGGCGGTTTTGAACTTGATTGGAGCCGGTGATCGATTAAACTAACGGCAAAGTAGTGGTAGATATGTATTTATAATTTGTGCGAGAGTAAAATTAAATGCCTTTTATTCGTAAACACACTGCCACGTTGCAACCTTTCGAGCCTGCACTGCTGTGCATTCAAGTGTATTATTTATACCTAAAAAACTTAAATTTCGAAGTAGCTAAATGTAAGATGGCGTAGTAAATTCTTTTCTTCAAAACAAAAGAGCGTATTATATCCCAAGTCGGTTGCTAGGATTTTCCCTTTTTTTTGGGTGACATGGTAACATTAGACTAGCTTTTTGCGTATTTAGAAGAGCATTTTAAATAAAACGTGTTTGTATTCTTCTATTAAGTGTTTTTCTGGAAAATGTGATTAAGATATGGCCAAACATCTGAAACTCTATTAAAATTAAGTACATTGCCTGATAGCAAATGCAATCAGAAGTCTTACGTGGAAAATGAGTCACCTATCAAGTAGTTTGACAAAGATGTATGAGCGTCGCAATGAAACTATAAAACGCAGTTATTCCACAAACAATTGGTGCTGTGTTTTTATTTCCAAGCAAATTCTACTAATGAATTCGTAATGTTAACCTTTCTTTCTAAATGATCTGGGAAAGTTTCCCCGTAAAACCCATTGTGCATGCCTCTCTCTGATGGTGATCATGGTGCACGTGTCCTTTCCATATTATGCTGGAATTGATTTAAAAAATCCTACACCTCATAATTAACTCCTCGGGTGTTGAATTTTCTCGAAGTATTTTCGTTTTTCTTCTTTTGGGAGGCTCACTACAGTTACCGGACGCTACTGTCTTGCGGCCTTTTTCTATACACATTTTAAAATTTTACAACAGTTTTAAGTGGCTTTTTCCTAGTTCATTGCTTCCACCTGGCAATATATTTGTCATAAAAAGTATTGCAATATTTTTACTAAAATTGTAAAAATTAAAATATTTTTTTTCTAAAATTCTAAGATAAGTATTTGAAAAAATGCAGTGTGTTCCTAAATACAATTGGTAAGGTTATGCAATTGTTTCGTTGCAAATTTATATGTTGAAGTTTCGTTTTTCTGTTATTGTTCCTACAATTTTTGAACTATTTATAAATATCAAACATATCAAACGGTTTCCCACCATAACATTTATTTTTCGAGGATATTAGCGACAGCTTTGAACATTTGGTTTATCCCTTAGGGAAACCAATATTTTTTGCATGCTACACGTTTGGTTAACTTTTTAAGTTTCATTAAACACTTGCGCCGCTTTTGTCAAATAAACTCGTAACTCAAATGCCGTTTATCGCACTTGTTGTATAACATACTATTGCTAAAAATAGAAATAACAGAAATATCAGTGGCGAGTTTTGATTCCGAAATTGAAAATTTCGTTTTTTAAAAACAATTTTATTCACGAGCGAGCTAAGATACATCTAAGCTATTATCTTGAGTCGGATTTAAAGGCCGTCGTCGGTTGGAATTACTTCCTAACGTTTCGCTAGCACGAGTGGCGAGCTTCTTCAGAGGTCCTTCCATCTCCGATGTTGGATGTTGGAGTAGTCCATAGGCTTTGTCTATTAACTTAGACGTCCGAAGATATGGCTTGAAGGTCTTCCATCTGATTCTTCAGTTTGACGTGGATTTCGTCCGCAGTCTTGAGGTTAACGGCGTTTAGATCAATCGCTGGTGGATTGATGTTCATTAATCTTAGTCCATGTTAATGAAGGCAAATTAACTTACTGAAACACTAGGTTTATTGACTTGTAGGTTTCGAAGGTCGTCGATTTTATTTGGACTTTGCAACCTAAGGGTACTACTAGCAGGTAGGAACCCGAAAATGGAATATCGTCCTCTAGATTTTGACACGCTGATTTTTAAATCTCGTTAGTTGGTACCGTGACAAACCATTTACCGTCGATAATTTTTGTTTAATGGATGTCACGCAGTTGAACTTCAAATAGGCGACAAGTGGTAACATTATTCACGTGTTTAAGTAGCTGAATAGCACACACAATCATTCTGCTATAGGTGCCCTTGCACAGGAATTGATTGGGCTGTATTTCGCAGCATTTTTCTTCTTGGAAGGCGTATTTTGTTTCACTTAGTGCCAAACAGGGTTTATAGAGTATATTGATTAGGAAGGATCGATTATTATTAGGAACTGGTAATGAAAACGGTAAATGGAAGTGCCAAAATAAATGTTACTTGGAAATATTTAATGAAGCATTTAATTTAGATGATTTTTTCAATATTTAAGATATTATGAGAATCACCACTTATTGGTAATTTAAGAGTTCATTCGGAGCGACTATCGCATTATGAAGGACATTAATTTTTGAAAATGTTATCGCTACTTCGATTTTATCCAAAATGATTGATAAACAAGAGTTATTTGATTAATAAACGTGAATATAAACACGAGATTTAAGTACCACGTGAGTAATGTTCGATATTAACGTGTTATATTTATTGATTGTTTGATCTAACAGGGAAATTGGATTTATAGCATCAATTTTAAGTTTGTTTTGATTATCTTGCAAACGCTTAATCTTACCTTTAATTATTTTCTCCTAGGTTTAAATTTCCTGTTATGTATTTTATCAACGAACGTAAAGGGTTAAATAAACCTCCTTTCGGTCTTTGTTTTTCAGTAAAAGGAATTATTTGATCGATTCAATTTTCAATAAGGTTCTTTATTTATTCTTCATATTATTCTTCATGGTACTATTATTTAGATGTAAAATTAGTAAGTTTGTTTGAATTTTAAGTAAATAAAATTCGTTTATTAGGGGTGGCAAATCGAAAGTTTGGACAAAGGACCAATGATTAGAGATTATTTTGGATGTTTCTAGCTTGAAAGCAAGGGTCAGTGGGTAGTTAGGACGCTGAATTTTACGTTGGTTGCTCCGACGGTGCAGAACCATAGTATTGCTATTGCTGTTTTCATTCCTAACTAGGCCCAATAGGACCAGCGATGTTGTCTTCTCCCTGAAAACTACCAATGGATGAACAATGTACCTGTTCCCTAGCCAGTGAGATAAACTTGCTTTGGCTTGCGTGTTCGAATTTGCCATAAACCGTTGAAACGATGTCGGACCGATATACTCGATGCACACGAATTATCCGCTGAAAAATCCTACCGACTGCGCCAGTTATGATTCTGAAGTTAAAAATGTCGTTTTTTAAAAACCATTTTATTCACAAGCGAGATACGATACATCTGTCTTAAAAATAGGATTGACATATATTTATATAAAATTTCTGGCTGATACTGCATGTGAATTTAAAAGTGTGAATCTTGCAAACGTTGTGAGAAACGTATTATATTATAGTTCACATGGGAATATAACTGTCGGGCATTTTTTGCTAAAACTATTGTTTTAAGTAAAAATATTGTGCGAACACTGATTTTAAAATCACTCGAAATGCCACAAATTTAAAAATTAAATATAAAAAATGGAGCAAACTCGAGCTAGATTTTGTTTCTGATCTCTTTTGCTACATTCTATACATATCTGAAGTATGGTTACATTCCTACCAAAAATGTTATTATATTATGAAGTTTTAATTATGATTTGATAGGTATATCAATATCTTACATTTTTATTTACCGGCCCTACAATACAAAATCAAAATCAAAATGTTGACATGTTGAAAATAGTGACGCAACGAGATATCAATTGTTGTTTTCTAAGCCAACTAGCGTAGAGTATCAGAAATAATTCCCGTATAAATTGGATTAACAATACCGCAAATGAAAATGTCATTTATAGCCAGGGAATTCCAACATCAACAGACATGGTTTGGGCTTAGTTTTTTGTTACTCTTTTGTTAATTGCCGATAGCGAGTGGAAAACTAAAACTCAGCTCAAGTCTGAAATGCGTAACACTTCCCGGAAAGGGCACTTGAACCATAGCCTGATAACATTCGATTCGACACGATTATCGATAATTTTTCGTGCGAACTTAGACAAAATTGATTTGCAAAAATTGCGAGCATGTTCGAGGTATTGTGCGCAGTGCTAATTTTAGCGGTCCAAGCGTCGACGCTGCGTGATGATGGCTGCACGATCACCGAGTTTGAGCAGATCGAGGACATTGTCAGCAGTTGCTCCGACATATTCGTCGACGATCTGGTGGTTCCCGGCGGAGAAACGTTGAATTTGACATTGAAGCAGGGTGCTAGTGCGACGATAAGGGGTCAGATTACATTCGGGTACACAGAATGGGGCGGACCTCTTGTACAGATCTCTGGCAGTGGTATTACAGTGACAGGCGAAACGGGTGAGCATGTTTTCGTATCATTTCGTGTCAATTCATCCCTATCACTATCATATGAGCGTTTCAACAAGGGCAAAGAAGGTATAGCAGTATTATACGGAAAATAAGTAAATTAGATGAAATACTGTTGTTAGGCTGAGATAAATCCAAATCCTTTTTGTTAAAAGCTTTTTGGTATATCTCTGGAAAAGTGGTGAGGATGTGCGCTAACACTAGGTATCACTTCGGGCGTCTTAAAATTCAAAAGGCTACCTGCAGATCTTCCCATTTCAGGAATATCAGGAAACAAAGCACTTTGTCCTGTAATCGCGAATGTTTTTATGGAAATTTTTGAAAAAAATCTAAAATCTAAACTGTGTTTTTGCTATATGATCACACGGCCAAGAATCTCTTTAATTCTTTCTGAATTACGTAAACTCCATACACCCAAATAGCAATATCAACCCACCTCCCCTTCTAGAAATAACTATTCCTCCAAACTCTTCCGTCCAGAAAATACTGACTCATACTGATCGACACAGCACAAAATTCTTCATTGATTAGATCCTTAGTTTATACAATAATATCACCCTATCAAAACTAATCTCGTAACCAGGAATTAACCACAACTTCCTCAGTTCTTCCCCCAAAAACAAAAAAAAAAAACAGAAGCATGAGAAATCTAGAAGAAGTAGTTTCACGGCCTACGAAAGTTCCTTGGCAAAAATTGAATGTCAAAACGGCTCAGTAAAACTCTGAAGAAGCCAACACGATGATTGGCGAAACACCAAGAAGTACCATTTATCAGCAACCGACCCTGGAGAACTTCAAGAAGATTTGTAAATAGCAAAATTGGAGTCGTTCAATAGGGTTTCTCCTTGGCGATGAGTGAGATGATAGCAATTGCTAATCTTGGCCCAACAACTCAGGACAAACCGTATCTCTTAACCCAAAAATATAAAAATTAAATCTGAAAACATAAAAAGGTGGAACTTTGGAAACCCTTTCCACTTTGCCGGTTGTTATTAATGGCCAATTATCCCTAATTTACTCAGGAATACACTAAATTATTGCTTAGTGTTTTATTCACTAGTTTTGAAGAAAGCGGATTTCCCAAATCTGTGCCTAAAGTTGCCGAAACCCTGAAGGTGACTCCCTATAGTGTTTAAGGAACCTAACATCTTAAGGTGACACTTTGCTCATCTCCAGTTAGTGGCAATTCTAAAATATAACGTACCTGTTTTTGCCCTTTGAATTAAAACACCTGCTTCAGTTATTTTAATTGTATTTATGGTATTATCCAGATAATGTGTTAGATGGCCAGGGACAGCTATACTGGGATGGTTTGGGAGAGTGGGGAGTGCTGAAACCGAACTTTTTCAACATCCAAGCTGACGCCAACTCATTAATTCAAGGCCTCTACGTGCTCGACTGTCCCTTACACTGCGTTGTGATCGCGAATTCCAGTGACGTCACACTTAAGGATTGGTCGATAAACAACGCAGCTGGAGATCGTGTAAGAGAATATTAAGTTGCTAATTTTTACTTTGTGCTATCCTCAAGGAACATAGGGTTACCTCAAAATTTACACAAAAGGCCTTAACACACAAAAACAAAAAATCTCTAACCAGCTACAAGAAGTTTACATTTGTTTCGACAAAACCGTGTCTTTATCAAATGTAATATTTACAAATTACCTGCCACTATTAGTGGAGTGCCGTAAGGTTTATACTTTGGAAACCAGCGCCAGTCAATAAATCTTTTTATAAACATAGCATATAGAAAAATGTTTAAAAAAATGTTTTGTGCGATCTTAATTTTTTAATAATTATTATAAATAATTATTAATTTTTTGGAGTTTTCCTTAAGTTATATTAGTGTAAAATTAGATTTTAAAAAGAAGAACTATTACAAACTTCATCTTGGGTCTCAAGGGACTGCAGGTATCACAGCAGCTGTTGGGTGTTGTTAACGCGGGCCCTAACAGAATAGTACACGTAGCAACTTGCTAGGCTTGATACGTTGTTGTTGTTTGCTCCGAAAAAAAATAATTTAAAATAATTTAAAAATAAATATATTATTATGCAGTGAGTGTGATAAAAGTTAATTACTGAGTTTTACAAACTTTGAAAATAGTGGCATAAATAGTAAGTATTTTTTTATTATTTATATTACATGGGTTTGAAAACAACTGTGAATATTCAATAGTATATTTTATAACAGATCGATCTTAAAAATTTGAATGTAATGGTAAATTTTAATGTATATTTATATAAGATAGTGCTTACACAAACAGTTGATTTATTTTTATGTATTTTATTTATGCAGAAATAATAATTTAGTTAATCGGAAAAATAGTGAAAATTCCGATTTTTTTTCATTAAAAAAAAAATCCAATCCTTACATCTGAAATTTTAATTAATTGTGATATAAAGTTTAGTTATTGATATTAGTAATATTTGTTGTTACAGCCTCGTATCAAAATGGGTGAACCATCGAATAGTGATAATATAAATAATGATTACCTCATTTGTGACAAAATTGGATGTACCTCTGAATTAAGCTCTGAGCTAAGAGATATTATAAAAGTCACTAGGGGAATACCAACACTGAAAGCTGCTTCTGTGGAAAGAGGGGATGGACTTTCTCAGTATTTAAATACTTGCGAATTTGTCTACGTGCATTCAGTATGCAGACAAAAATATATCAATAAAGGATGTATTAATGCTTATTTAAAACAAAAGAACACCACTATTGATTTTGATTGGAAAAATAAGTGCTTTTTATGTGAAAAAGAAGCGAATGAAATGAAGGAAAGAAGAAAGTCCAAATCGGTAAGACAGCAAATCAGCTACGTAACTACTTCTGAGTTCAAGCAAACTATTTTAAATTTGATAAGCGAAGAGAAAAGCGGAAAAGAAATATTACCAGAAGAATGGGGTTGGAAAAATGAACTCGGAATATTGATACCGCAAACAATGACGCAGCGACCAGCTCCAGAATCTTTACTAAAAATTATTTTTTGCGCATGCAAAACAGGATGTGGAGCATTTTGCGGGTGCAGGAAAAGTGGATTAAACTGCACTGCAGCTTGCTTAGAATGCAATGGTGATAGCGGTACTAATCGACGACGACGACAATAACGAACAATAATCGATATAGTTAAGGTTAAATTTTCTTTTGTAGACCATTTTTTTGCGAAAATATAATAAATTAACATTGAATTTACTCTGCAAACATAATTTATTACATATATAACATATAAAATTAAGATCTTTACTGTAAACGTTTTTCCCCCTTGCGCCTGTCATTTTTCAGTAAATTGTTTATAAAAATTGTTGTAATCGAGATCGGCCAATTTTTCTTTAACATTTTTTTGAGGTTTTAATAATGCGGTCAAATACTTGTTATACAGATTCATTGACTGGCCCTGGGTTCCGAGATTTTACCATTCTTATGCCTTACGGCGCTCCACTATATATATACCGAAAAATTACATTAAAACCTTAATTAATAATTAAATTAATATAGGAGAGGTATTTAAATCTAATTGATCGTTAAGCAATACATTTGAATGTCTCATTTTGTTAATCTCAATGGCTTCCAATAAATTTAATTTTCTATTTTTTGCAGCTGTATATAAAATATCAAAATTGTCGTCAAAAATGTGTTTTGCTGTGTTTAAAAGCTCTTTTATGTGCGTTAATGCATTTCTTGAAGGATCTACCAGTTTGTCCAATATAGATTTTAGGACAAGATTATTTTTTTATTGCTTAACGGTCAATTAGATTTAAATACCTCTCCATTATTAAAATTAAATTCTCACAACAACATTAATTAAGGTTTTATTGTCATTTTTCGGTATATATAGTAGCAGGGAGTTCGTAAATATTAAATTTGATAAAGACACGGTCTTGTCGAAACAATTGTCATGTGAAAATATATAATTTCGTGAAAATCTTCAAGTAAAAGCGACCTCAGTTGTGTTGAAAAGCATGGTTAGAATCATTGGTTATGTATCTTAAAGTCCTAGTGTCTTTACTATAAATATCAAAACCTATATGATTTTCACTGTTTTCGATAACGAGAACGTCCAAAAAAGACAACTGCATGTTACAAGTTTGAGACAAAGTCATTGAAGTCCATGCAAGTTGTATCAAAAACCGCGAAAACATCGTAGACGTATCTATGCCATGTCCTAGGAAAGTACTCGAAATTTTCTTTAGCATTCTGTTCAAAATGACGCATGAAAAGTTCAGCCAGGAAAGGAGGCCGTGCCACTTTGTTGTTCATAATAGTTGTTATTATATACAAAAATATTTTGACTCATGCAAAGCTTTGTCAGAGTGATTAGCTCTTCAATTATATCTTTACCGTAGTTATTATATTCGAGTAATTTCCTGAGGTATTCCAAAGTTTCTGGTATAGGAACGCTTGGAAATAATGAGGAAACATCAAAAGATACTAAAAGTTTATGTTCATTTAGCCTTACGTCTTTGATTTTACCAATAAACTCTTGCGAGTTTTTTACAGAAAAACTTCCTTTTTGATGTTTTAAATTTCCAAGTTCTCCAACCGACCACTTTGAAATATTGTATGTAGGAGAACCTATAGCTGAAACAATAGGTCTCATTGTTTTTTCACGTTTATGAATTTTCGGTAAACAATATAATTTTGACAAAGTAGGATTAGATGTCTGCAATTTGTATTTCAGATTTTGGGTAATAAGGTTTTTACAACTAAATGTGCTTTTTACCTGCTGTACCATCTTCGATAATGGATTTCTGTAAAATTGAGTTTCGGTTTGTGGTAAAATACGTTATTGTGTGACAAAATTAAGTGTTCTGCATATACGCATAATAAAAAATATCACTTTTATTTTTCTTGAGGAAATAGCCTGGCAAGTTTTGGTTAGTTAGCAAAAAGAAACATTCAAAAAACTTTCCGGACTATCTTAGGGGTTTTAAGCTTTAAAAATCAGCCTAGCAACCGGTTAGTCAGTATTCAGTTTTGACTTTCTGCAGTACACTCTTATGTATTAATAGTATAGGCCAAATTCCGTTTTAGGATGTCGCGCCGTTGAACAAATACAGCCTCAACACGGATGGCTTCGACATATGGAATTCGACCAACGTCGTAATTAGAGATATGGTCGTATTCAACCAGGATGACTGTGTATCTGTGCGTTCCGGTAAACGTTTTCTTAATTAAATAATTTAGTAATTTCTAAGTGATATCAATTCGCGTAAGTCGTTTCGCCACTGTAGGGTAAACATCAAGTCAATAGAGTATAAACGCAGAACTAAAGCTTGAGCTAGAAACCAGAGGATAATGAATATGAATTGGCACTCCCGGTCTGAAAGAAAAACCAAAACCCATTCGTTCCGTTAAAGTCTTCGATAACAAATAATTTACCATGCACATAACCTCATAGCAACGTACATCCCAGGCACCGGGTTACAACTAATCAAATCTAGATGGCACCATGGGCTCCAAACTTAAAATGTTTGCTTATTTTTAACACCACCAAACATTTAAATTTATTTGTAAAAGCCTAACTTAATCCGATAACCAACAATGTTTCTCGGGACCTATGTCATCTGTATTGGGTACCTTCACTACTTTGCTTTATTTTGAACATACTTTGTACATATGCAACACAGAACAAAACTATTTTATCGACAGGCAGCAAAAGGAATATATGTTCATATATTTGATAAGTGAGAATTCAAGACAGAAAAGTACAGACAATGTATTTCTATAACAAGAATTACGCTGTGCGTTAATAAGCGTAAGATTTTCCTTGTGCATATTACAAATTACAGTTTGGGAGAGACAGTTTATAGCCTAGTTTATAACACCTGCCAATCCCTCTAAATTTATAAAGCAATATCTACTTTCCTATTCCTAATTAGGACGCAGCTTTCGATAATGTCGTCGTGTCCTTCAACCAATGGCGCTATCCTTTTTTAATTAATTTTTATTACGAGTGCTACAATGGATTTACCACCCCATAAAAAAGAGCTAACTTAATTATGCGCCTTGACGAGCTTTGGCAGATAATTTTTTCTCCCCTTTCGTGCTCTGCTACTCCTAACAGCGTTATTTTATTCTGATTTGCTATCTCGTTTAATGCCTTGTGGCAATAAAAGGTAAATTTTACCCTTTGGCTGTGAGGTAATTGTGATCTAAGCACCTGATATTCTGATATGAACGGACAGGGAACGAAATTTAAAATAAGACACTATTCAATCAAATAGCAGTTTTCAATATGTTGTAGCACTTGTTGTTTTTGTTGTCATTGGTGCCTTGTATAAGGTTGTTCGGAAAGTCATTTCGTTTTTTCCCGTCAGAGGACTTAATTAGGTTTTTTCGAAACCAACTTCACACTTAAGCCGCATAACCATTATATGTCTTGAGAGCTGATAATGCAAGGCTTGTGTGTGAAAAAGTTCTATTAATTCTACGCAGTAGTTTTTGGTTGGTGCCCTTTTAAATATGGAGAGCAATAAGCAGCATTTTCGTCATATTTTACTTTTTTACTTCAGAAAAGGTAAAAATGCTGTCCAAGCGAGAAAAAAATTGACGGATGTGTATGGAGAAGGCGTGTTAACAGTACGCCAGTGCCAGAACTGGTTTGCAAAATTTCGAATTTCGATCCGGCAATTTTGATGTCGAAGATGCACCACGGTCTGGAAGGCCGGTCGAAGCTGACAAAGATGCGATAAAGGCATTAGTTGATGCAAATCGGCGAATAACCACACGAGAGATCGGTGAGAGATTAAATTTGTCGAATTCGACTGTTTATGGCCATTTGAAAGGCATGGGCTTAACCTCGAAGCTCGATGTGTGGGTGCCCCATGTCCTTACGGAGCGAAATTTGTGTCGTCGCGTTGACGTGTGTGATTCGCTCCTCAAACGTCAAGAAAATGATCTATTTTTGAAGCGGAATATTACTGGGGACGAAAAATGGGTTGTATACAACAATGTTAAACGCAAGAGGTCATGGAGCAGAAAAGATGAACCGGCTCAAAGCGTGTCAAAAGCCAACATTCACCAAAAAAAGGTGATGCTCTCCGTTTGGTGGGATGTCAAAGGAATCGTTTTTTTTTGAGCTTTTGCCGGACAATACAACGATTAATCCAGAAGTCTATGGACATCAACTGGACAAATTGAATGATTCACTTAAAGAGAAGAGGCCCGAATTAATCAACAGGAAGGGTGTAGTGTTCCACAAGGATAATGCGAGACCTCACACAAGTTTGGTCACTCGCCAAAAACTTTTACAGCTTGAATGGGACGTACTGCAACATCCACCATATTCTCCAGATCTGGCGCCTTCCGACTACTATTTGTTCCGGTCCCTGCAAAATTTTTTGGATGGCAAAACCTTTACCTCAAATGAAGATGTCAAAAACCACCTGAACCAGTTTTTTGCCAGCAAGGACCGAAACTTTTATGAGAGGGGAATTATGTTACTGCCAGAAAGATGGCAAAAGGTATTGGACCAGAATGGCTAATATATAATTTAATAAAATATTTATTCATTATACGAAAACTGTCTTTCATGTTCCCCAAAAAAAAAACGAAATGACTTTTGTTTAATAACTTATTGAAGTTCTCCTAAATTGCCGGCTACGGCAATTTCGTAAGATTTATTTATCTAATATTTTAGTTTTGTAAGGTTTGGTGTATTTGCAAAAATGGTGTTATCAAATAATGTTTTTTCCAAGGATCAAATGTTCTGGTTGACAATGTTTTCTGCCACGGAAGCAAAGGGATCAGTATATCGGTTGGTTTCAGCAACGATTCCATAGAATCAAACACCTTGGAGAACGTTACGTTTACCAACAGCGTCGTAGTAGGAGGATGGAATGCCATACACATAAGGACCCATGCAGATAGCGGAGAAGGAATCATTAATAATGTTACGTACGAGAACATAGTGTTTTCTGGTAAGCCTTTTTCGAAATGGTTCAAATGATTTGACCATTTTTCTCATTAATTATTATTTTGCATTAATTTTAACACTTAAGCAATAGGCGTCTGCATAATTTCATAAGTTGAGAAGAACAACGGGGACATAATAAAACTGTGAACATTAATTATTTTTTTCAAAAAGTGGGAGTGATGGGTGATGTTTTGAAAAAACAGGTTACGGGTTGCGGAGCAGGGAATTATTTCAAGTGGGATCTGTGCCCTAATAGATCTAACCCATCGCTCTAACCTTAGTGTTCTGTAGAGTCTGTGAGTTGACTCAACAGAAACTCCAAAATAACATAAAAAATTACACTTCTACATATCTTTATTTACTAATTAAAATTTATATTCATTTACTAAATTTTAAAGTGGTCACTGGATTACAAACATGAACAGTTTCTAAAGGTCTGTAACTAATTATTATTTAATTATAATTAATATTTTTCTCTATTTGATTCCAAAATAATTTTGGAAATTATAAACTTCAATCATATAATAACTCAAATAAAGAATTTTTTTGTTTAAAATTAATTGCTCTTTAATGTAAAAGTAATAAATAAATAAATCCTAAACATTTATTTTCACAGCTCTACAACTTAACAGCTTTTGTAGTAAATTTTATGGTCTACAAAAGCCATACACGCGTTTTTCCCAAAAAAATGTTCTTCAAGTCGAAAAAGCAAGTGAAAACCGAGAAAAATGTTTTTTCTGTTATTTAAATTGTGATTTTTTCGTCACGGTCTTTATCTCACTCGTTTATTAAGCACTCGCTCCGCTAGTGCCAAATGAACTAGTGCCCTTTACCGCACTTGTTACATAATATACTATTACCTTGGAGAAATCATTTTCTGATCTTATATTAGTCAGCAAAGTTAAGAGAACTGAATTCGATTTTGTCCTCTCTTAAAATTTGCCTCGTTTAATTCCTTGTTCTACAGGTTTTTAATATTCTCTACTCAAAACAAGCATTTAGTAAGGAAATGTTTTCAAAATAGATCTGATGATGGTTGTAACATTTTGCAATATTTGTAATTATTTTCGAGACCGAAGTCCAAGTTTGAATCTTTATGGTTTTGTGAAACCAGGCCGCTTCGAGGATGTACGATTTGTTTTATTTTTATTATGGATGTATACTTAGGCTTGCAGGAGTACGGGATCAATATCCAGCAAAACTACGTAGACGTTCCCGAAAATTCCACCTCGAACCCGAGCCCCAGGGACAATATTCCGATAACGAATCTCATTTTTAACAATATCACGGGAACCGTCGTCCCACAGGCGGTTCCCGTTTACATCAATTGCGCAGATGGCGCCTGCAGCGATTGGCACTGGCACGGCGTTACAGTGGGTGGAACGGAGGCGATGAATAGCTGCAACTACCTTCCCGAAGGTTTTCAATGCTAAAAATCGCATCAAATGGATTCTTGCTAGACGATTTCGTTTGTTATTCTCTTGCACATTCAGCTAATCCTAATAATAATAATAAAAGGTATTTAAAAATTAACCTATCTGCTAATTGAAAACATCCCGGCAAACGGAAGAAAACTCCATGTTACTTTAATTAAATTGCTCAAGGCCTGTGATTGTCTCCATCTTCAAAAACTATGGATTACCCTAGAGCTTTAGCAAAACATGGTCTACAGGGAAAATCAGATGAAAAATTGGAGACCGGACCTCTGCACAAGAGGAATTAAACAAGGTTGCTGCCTTTTAACCACTCTTTTAAATATTCCAATGGAGTAGAAAGTGCAGCACAACACATAACATTATTTTCGCAGATTCATGGCAAAGTTGAAAATCTTCGTTTTTCTTATAGCCAGAATACCATTGAAAAATTTGAAAAACTACCAAACTCCTTGCCCCATAAAGATACAGTAAGGAAAGAGACCAAATCTTCTGTCTCTATATCTGGAAATTGTTTCCACCTTGTCCGAGTTCGATCCTTTGTCAAACCAACGTCAACGCTAGTGAACAAGGCAAAATCTAATCTTGACATCGTAATCCTAAAAGCAGGTAAAGATCGATGGTCATGAACTCGCCTCTACAAACTTCTTAAGATTCGTAAATCAGGATTACCCCGTCGACCTATTGTCAGCACCATATTCTCCAGCAAAACATCCAGCTTTTATATCATTGAACAATTAAAAATCATTACATTAGATCCAAACTATAAGGTTGTTCGGAAAGTCATTTCGTTTTTTCCCGTCAGAGGACTTAATTACGTTTTTCCGAAACCAACTTCACACTTAAGCCGCATAACCATTATATGTCTTGAGAGCTGATATTGCAAGGCTTGTGTGTGAAAAAGTTCTATTAATTCTATGCAGTAGTTTTTGGTTGGTGCCCTTTTAAATATGGAGAGCAATAAGCAGCATTTTCGTCATATTTTACTTTTTTACTTCAGAAAAGGTAAAAATGCTGTCCAAGCGAGAAAAAAATTGACGGATGTGTACGGAGAAGGCCGTGTTAACAGTACGCCAGTGCCAGAACTGGTTTGCAAAATTTCAATCCGGCAATTTTGATGTCGAAGATGCACCACGGTCTGGAAGGCCGGTCGAAGCTGACAAAGATGCGATAAAGGCATTAGTTGATGCAAATCGGCGAATAACCACACGAGAGATCGGTGAGAGATTAAATTTGTCGAATTCGACTGTTAATGGCCATTTGAAAGGCATGGGCTTAACCTCGAAGCTCGATGTGTGGGTGCCCCATGTCCTTACGGAGCGAAATTTGTGTCGTCGCGTTGACGTGTGTGATTCGCTCCTCAAACGTCAAGAAAATGATCCATTTTTGAAGCGGATTATTACTGGGGACGAAAAATGGGTTGTATACAACAATGTTAAACGCAAGAGGTCATGGAGCGGAAAAGATGAACCGGCTCAAAGCATGTCAAAAGCCAACATTCACCAAAAAAAGGTGATGCTCTCCGTTTCGTGGGATGTCAAAGGAATCGTTTTTTTTTGAGCTTTTGCCGGACAATACAACGATTAATTCAGAAGTCTATTGTCATCAACTGGACAAATTGAATGATTCACTTAAAGAGAAGAGGCCCGAATTAATCAACAGGAAGGGTGTAGTGTTCCACCAGGATAATGCGAGACCTCACACAAGTTTGGTCACTCGTCAAAAACTTTTACAGCTTGAATGGGACGTACTGCAACATCCACCATATTCTCCAGATCTGGCGCCTTCCGACTACTATTTGTTCCGGTCCCTGCAAAATTTTTTGGATGGCAAAACCTTTACCTCAAATGAAAATGTCAAAAACCACCTGAACCAGTTTTTTGCCAGCAAGGACCAAAACTTTTATGAGAGGGGAATTATGTTACTGCCAGAAAGATGGCAAAAGGTGTTGGACCAGAATGGCCAATATATAATTTAATAAAATATTTATTCATTATACGAAAACTGTCTTTCATGTTCCCCAAAAAAAACGAAATGACTTTCCGAACAACCCAATATATTCTGGTTAGTTTCGAATTAGAATATCTCTTTAATAAAATCTCTGAAACTGTCAACATCATTTCGGATATATAAAAATCCGAGAATCTGGAACCAAATCTTCTGACCTTAATTAAAAAAAGCTTGTTGTGTAAATAGTATTAAAGTAGCCTATGGAATATATTATTTTTTGAATCGCCGCGTTATTTCTAGCGCCAATTTTACAAAAAATTACAGTCCATTGCTCTTTCTCGTCCAAAAACATTATACAAAATGTTATTTTGATTAAGTCGTAGTTGTGGCATGAACCACAATCTTGCACTAGTATTTAAAGCCCGGTAGACAATGCAATTTCTACACGTATTTTTTGCATTTAACAATTGCTGTGAAATATTTTTGCCGCCATGCAATTTTTGCTAGAAAAATGTTTTTTATAATTTTAAGACAATAAACGATACTTTTTAGAGTTTGGTAATGTTAATTCTGTTATTTTTAGGCCTAATTGTTTATTGACTTGTTTTATAGTAGTTTTTAATTTTCTTGGTTACATTTTTCAAAACCTACAGTTTTTTAACGAAATTGTCCGTTGGTACTCTTCATAATTATATATTTGGGAGGCGAAACTTTCTGCACGTGCTAGACTTGCCCCGATTTACGGGCACAAATTCGAAAGAAATTAGCTGGTATCATGTCTATAGCGCTTAAAGAACCAAAACGTTAAAACAGTTACAGAATTATACTAAGGACGCCGATCCGTGAGTTATAATTCAGATCTCGCGCATGCGCATATTCAACAGACCTCAAAATTTTGTTGCATACTTAGCATAGGCAGGGCCTCTATAGGTCTATATGGAAATTGTTCTTACCGTCTTAAATTCTTAACAATTTTAACAATAGAAACGTTTAAAATTAAAATTTGGTCCGCTTTCTCATTGTGGAGTTGACTGTTTGCGTAGTAGTAAGTTTATTTGTTTTTTTTTTTCTTAATTTCGTAGTTGCAGTGATTTGTCTTCATTGAAAAATAACATACGTAAGTACAACCAAAAGCATGAGGGAAGCACCGACTGTGAAGATGATCAATCAGAACTACTTTTCAAATTACAAATAAATTTTATCTAGTATGTATACCTTTTTTGTGTGTGTAAGTATTTATTATTTCGTTACGGGCTTCCAGAAGACGATGAAGTTACACTTCCTCCGTATATTTAAATACCTGCAAATTTGCCGACTCCTTTAGTACTCACAGAGGAAACGACATTAATGTATGTTGTTGGGTATCTAAGAAAGAATATTGCAAAAAAAAATCTAAATTGGTGAAAAAGAAGAGAGGCACAGATTCACAAAATCGGAGAAGATTATATTATATGAGCAATACATTTGTGCTTTAGAAAGACTTACACCATGTTTTCATGATGACGAAATAAAAAGGCGTATAATTATTGTTCTCAAATAAACAGGATATCGAGATGCTTAGATATGATACATATCCAAGCCAATTCGTCAAAAATGTTTGTTTCTGTTAGAAAAATTATTTTAAATTTCCGTCATCATTAACTATTTTCAGGTATATCCCAAATTCGCTGTTCCTTGTATGTATATGTTTTAAAAATCATTCAGAATACACATTTCTAAATTTTGTATTATTATTATCATGTTATTACTAAATTGAATAATTGATTTGTTATACCTATAATTTTTTTCTTATACTTACCCTCTAAATTCGTAGGTTTATCCATAAAATTATTGCAAAGAAACTAGGAATTTGGTTCTGAACTTCGCTATAAGTAGTTTCTTACATGGCACTAGATGGCGCAAGCGATGCCATTTCTATTCTCCAAGGGTAAAGTTCCCCATCTATAACCGATATAATTTTTTTCCATGGGCTTCCACTTGCGGTGTTAGCGATATTTACTGAAACATTATCGGACTTTCTGGCATCACTCTCTATCAATTCAAAATATGAATGAATCGTCAAAGCCGTCTTCCTACCCGAGAATCAGTTGGACGAGTCGAGGAAGCTACTAAATTAAAAATTTGACTTTCGACCTCCCTATACTGTATAAAGATGTTCTAATTTCTGTAACAGTAAATTTAAATTATGATAAACCGTTTCGTCTATCAAATCCGATTACTTCAAAAAAAAGTTAAACTGACGATGTTTTCCGTCTGGTTTTCCGCTTTCTTCTGCTCAAATCCGGCTCGAAGGACTTAATCGTCTTGACGAATTGATGAGAAATGGGATGTATATATTTCACTTTTTATATTCCAATATAATACAAATTTGTGCCGAAGAAAAACAGGAATACTTATTTAAGACTCTACAGATAAGATTTCTAGCAGTCGTAGCCATCCGGATTAACATTGCAATCGTTCGGGAGAACTCCGGTTACGGTGACGTTGTGCCAATCAAAATTGAGACACGCCCCATCGGCGCATTTTATGCAGACTGGTACGGCCGATGCGGCTACGTTGCCCACAATATTTCTGAGGGTCAAGTTGACTATGGGGACGTTGCCCACCGGGGTAGGATCCGTGGTAACGTTCGGAGGTACGTTTCGGTAGTTTTGTTGAATTTCGATGCCGTACGTGTTCGGTCCTGGAAAGTAGACAACGAATTATAGCAAGTAGTAAATGAACGAACGCATGAATTTCCTGTGCGTTAGTGACATTAATTTCAGCCCTTTGATTTAAGATCTAAATAATAATAGAGTTCTCTAACGATATACCATTTTTACAACCTTTTATGGAGAATGAGTTTAAGACCTGCCTGTTGTAAAGCGGAATTGGCCATTCTTTTGAGCACGTGTACTACAAGCCAGAAACGTATTTAATTGTTGTATTTTAAGAGTCGAGAAATTTTCTTTGATTAAACTGTTAGAATAATTCATATTAAAACGATGTTTATAAATATTTCTAAAACTGTCTCTACTAGAGGTTGATCTCCTTTATTAAAAACACAGAGAAGAAAAGGCACTCTGCGCGGAAGTTTATTATAAGTTACTAGCACGCGCACTAACTGAAAACTATGACATTAGGCAGAATATTTAACGGTTGTACTAACTCTATATGGCAAAACTAACTAACCCCTTCTTCAATGAGAGATTTAAATATGACTGAATTATTTTCATCCGCTTCATGACAGTACAATTTAACTAGTACGATCAATTTTAAATTAGTATTTTACAATACGGATACCTGTCAAACAACTAAAAGGGAAGTATTAAATAGATCAACACGAACCATTCTCTTTACTAGTCAATAAATGTCAAATTTTAGTTTACATAGTTACAGATCCCTTTTTTTAATTATCTAGAGCGGACACCATTTTTTGTGTTCAAAAACACTTATTTATTCATTTATTTAAAGAAGTCTACCTTTATAGGCAAAAGCGTAGCTAATAGGTTTTACGAATTTACAGTGACAGAGGCATAGCAAGTGATAACTCTAAAAAAAAAACTTAACTTAGCAACTTAAACCCGATATATGGTGCATCTCCCTTTAAAAGATATATGTTGTTGGGGAATGATTTGACCTCACATTCGGAAAACATCTTTATGTTTATATTTTCAGAGCGGTGTGGATTGCTAATATCATTAAAATTGTTGAGAGAATCTCCGTTAGAAAGTGACCGTCGAAAACATGGTGCAAAAGACTTGAGTATATCTTGCCAAGTACGTAACTCGTAAAAACACAAACGACTTAAATTTTCTATCATCTTTTTATGTGTTAGAATCTCTAATTTCAGATTTTGCAATTCTGCAACTTTGAAAGCTACATGACAACTGAATTTAAGATTGATTATGTATGCGAAAACTGTTTGTTATGTACGTTGTATGTTTACTTTTAAAACTCATATTGACAAATTTAAATGTATTGTTTATACATGTTTGGGCAATAAATCATTTTATTTCAATTTATTTTATCAATACATAATTACCTTCGAAAGTGATGTTCTCGTAAAGCACATTGCTAATTAGTCCATTAGGAGCGTCGACATACGTTATAATTTGAATTCCATTTTGGCCATTCACAAGAGCGGAGTTTTTTATGGTCACGTTGTCGATGGAGTTTTCATCAAAAGCGTCAGCATCAAGGCCACTAGGGCCAATTGAACCTATGCTCAGTCCATGACTTCCGTCACAATTGATGTCCGATACGACTACATTCGATCCTGTAATATGCAAGTGCGTCCTGTTCATTTTTTGCAAACACTTTCTGAAGTTTTTGAACTTGAAAAGACGAACGAGAATATTTCAATTTGCAGTTGAAATTTTTGCCAGAAAAAACGAAAAAAAATCCATTTAAGATGCTCCTATACCATATCTCAACAAGTAAATCTTTTTTTCAAAAATTCATACAATTTAACTTTTATCTTGGAAAAGTGCAAATTCTGTGAAAAGTTGAGAACATGTTATGAGTATCACATGCGTTCCGTTTAACATAATCAGACTGTGACCATTAAACCACCACTAGTTTAGATATTTCGTTGATTGATTTCATGCCAGAATCAGCGGGGCAATGTGCAAAGTATTTTCCAAATGGAAATATATTAAAGCATTTTCGTTGGTTTTTTCAAAAATATGAATATAAAAAATAAGATAGAGAGAGAGAGAGAGTTGATGTTGGAATTTTCGTCAATGTGGCCGTTTCTTCTATAGATACTTGCTTGCTGACACCATGTTCAATGAAAGTCAAATAAACATTGTTTATAACTTCCTTAGTCTTAATAGAATAGTGTTGTCTACATTTGGGCGGGAGCATCTCCTGAGATACACTAGACTCGCACATATTTTGCATAATTCGCACACGATTCAACACACACTGTATTACAGACGAAATAAGAATGATTACTAATAAACTTAAACTAAGTAGTATACCAAACCAAAGAATATTAAACACAGGTACGTATAAAATTATTTTCTATTACGGACCACAATTTTACTTGAATTTAAATTCCGAAACTTTAGGTAAAAATCTTGTTGCATTGTATGTTAATGACCACCCTTGGGTAATCCGTTTAAAAGCAATTGGTCACTTTCTTATATCTATGAACAGACCATATCTCTGTCAAGTGTACGGCACCCGGCCGTAATAGAAAAAGGTATAACACTGGCAGGTGGGTGGGTGGGTTTTGCCATTCATAGTATACGAGTGAAAGCGGGTAAAATATTGAGGCATCTTCTTGATTTTATGACCGACTATGCCATCGCAAATCCTACCAAGTATAGTTAATTTAGTCTTTCGTCTTATTTAACTTTTTGACAAACCTTTAATAATTAAAAATTCAAAAAATATAATTTTAAACTCAAAAACTCAAAAAAAAGATATGGTCTACTATTGATAATGTAGATTGATTATAAACTACCTGAATTGATTGCCACGCAATCATCCTGATTGGTAACCTGGGAATCTAACAGTGATATGCCAACCGAGGTTACAACTTGTATTCCTTCCGTATTCTGGGCGGAATTTTGGGGTTGAGCTGCATCCTGAAAATAAACGTCTAGTGACTCATCGATTTTAAGTCAGCAATGGATGTCACCTTTATTTTTAAATCAAATAATGAAAAGACCAATATAAAATGGAGAATATTTGTCAGTAAGATTTTTTAGTAAAAAAAAATTCGCCATTGAATCCAGAAAGACTTCCAAGCAGTTATAACCAGAATGTCTTTAAATTTAAAGCCAAAAACAACTTCGCTTTTTTAAATAGCTATTTTTGAAATAACTCGGGTTTATGATTTAAAAGTAAATTTTAATAAACAACACAAACATTGCTTTGGAAAAGAAAAGTGCTAAGTATACTTTTTAGTCTAACAGTAACTCAAAATAATACTTAATTTACAAATTCTCAACGTCATCTTCATCGTTTACTCTGCAGTTGAAAAAACTCTTTCTTGGTTCACTTGTTCAGTAAAAATACTTTGTTTTCATTCTGGCTTAAAATATTTATATCTTCTGGTCTATCGTGGTATGTTTTATTTTGTAACTAACCCCCCCGCATTGTGTTTAATGGGAAATGTCTATGGCTCAACGAATGCTTATTTTTCCTGGTGTTTTATTTATTTATTGTTTTTATTTTATTTATTTTACACTTGGAGGTAAGTTGCTATCGGATTTTAAAAGTTGAGCAGCTATATGTTTATTAACAATCAACAGTTTTTTTGACTTGTAGTTGAAGCAATAGTTTTTTCCTACAAAACCTACAAAAGTCATGAACTGTAGTTTTAGTGAAGAAGCTCTGAAAATTTCAATTTGAATATTCCTCGCACAATCGATTTTTTTTTCGTTTTTTATTGGAAAAGTCGTGGGTGTGTGCGCAAATCAAAGTTCAAGATTAATTCTAGCAATACCAAAAAATAAACCATAATATATAATTATCAAAGTTATTGTTATCAATAAATAGAATCACCCATCGTACGAAGGTAATATTATTAAAAAATTATTCAAAAAATATCAGTCATCACGTCTCCAGTTATCGGCGTTTCTGTCTCATTATTCTTAGATGAGTTTTTCTGTTTCTTTATAACAACAAAATGAACTCAAACTTTTAAAAATGATCTATATATATATATATATATATATATATATATATATATATATATATATATATATATATATATATATATATATATATATATATATATATATATATATATATATATATATATATATATATATATATATATATATATATATATATATATATATAACCAGAATATGCGATAATTTCGTAGGAATTCGGGGCAATTAAAAAAAAAGTTATTAACAAATTAATTGTCCAGGAACGTGATTTGGATTTGAATGAATTTTTACAGTCTCTTTATAGTTTGCTTATGCTTTAACTTATCGAAAAAGTGGAACCGTCCTCGCTATGGTGTTATGTAGGGTCCGTGGCGTTTTCGTCTGAAACTCACAAATTTAGATATATAAAGTAAGTTTGTCTCTTTTCGTACATAACACATAAGCTATTTCAAATATTAAATACGTATTCCTAATACAAGCCTATTATATCCAATTACCCATAATTGTCATATTTTGATTTAATACGAACCATAGTAACCATAGCAACTAAAGTGACCTATTCATAAAAAAAAATTTGCTTTACATTTGAAGTACCTCTTATGTGTTAAATATTTTTTTCTGCTCCAGCTTGTAAAATACCTAAGATTATTAAATTCTACTTTTGAATAGTAAACTAAAAATTTCTGGTTACAAAGGATTTCCATCTTGAGTGGAAATTTAAAAAATAAAGTTGTTAGTTTTTTATACATTGTTGTTATTATTACGTTCATTGTAATAAAATCTTTTTCTATCCCAAAAATAATATTTTGTCCAGTTAGTGTTTATTAATAGAACAAAAATGACGTTTCTGGGCAAGTTTTCAATTCACATTTCACATGAAAATGAAAAACATATGTATAAGCGTCCAAGTCTCAACTATATGTTTCTCAAGGAACTCTTCTGAGTCCCACATTTTCAAAATTATATTAATGACGCGGGTGTGCAGTGATGTTTGAAAGTTGTTTGCTTGTTTGTATATTTTTGTTAGTTTAATAAACTACCAAGAAGATTAGTGGGTAATTTGTGGTGACTTTAAAGTGCTGTGTGTGCATGCTGTTAGAACAACGAGAAGGGTCATACAAAATTTCCGTGCCACCAGGCGTAAGGGCAAGCCTTACACCTGGTAGCAAAAAGATGTTAAAAGATAGCTTAGTTTTCCCCAAAAAAGTTTGACTGACTCCTGTTCATTGAAATGAAACTTCTTCTTCTTCTTCTTCTTCTTTACATGTCTAATGGCCAATGGCATTTAATGTAATGAACTATTAATTTTTTAGGATATCCCAGTTCATTCAAATAGCATCCTAGTGGGAACAAAAACCTTTTAAGACCGGTACTTTTTTGCAACATTTGGCGCAAAAATTTTCAAAATCAGTTATAAAATAAGCTCACAGACAGGAAAAAACCAGATAAGTAAATACATTTTTATGAAAACAAAATATTACTTAGGTTTGTTTCTATTCATTATTAATTGTCAAGTCGGTAACATTAGATATGCAGAAGAAATTCTCGACATGCTCATGCAGTGGAAAGAAAAAAACAGATTAGGATTTAAAAAAAAAATGAAAATGTACAACCTGTCAGAATTTTCTACCATTACGACTTGATAAATAGAAGCAAAGTCTCCTAAGCAATATTTTGTTTTTATAAAAAGTGTGAAAATGTTGCAAAAAAGGTGTCGGTTTTAAAAGGTTTTTGTTCCCAATAGGGTGCTATTTGAAAAAACTAGGTTATCCTAAAAAATTAATAGTTCATTGCAAAGAAAAGTCACATTTACAACTTTTCCCATGATCAGGTGAGCCGGTAAAATAGTATTTATAATGGTCACCCCAGCCTTCTAGACACAATTTTCCAAAATTAAAAAATAAAAATAAAAAATTAGAAACAGCATCCTATCCTCTGCTAATCCTATCTCCTGAACCCAAAAAAAAAATAGGTTGTGCCACATAAAATTCGAAAGTTACTGTCGCTTCCGTTCAACCCGGAAGTGCAACAAATGACTACATGTTGTCAAAAAATTGAGCATTCAGCTTATATTATAGCTTCCAAATTTCAAGTCGCTATCTCAATCCGTTTAAAAGTCATAGAGTTGTTGTTCACCCGGTATATTCATTTTGCTTATATTTCTTGTAAAACAATTATTAATTTTAACTATTTTAATTATTGTTAACAATTATTATCAAATCACATATAAAAGAAGCATTTTGTTCTGTTTTCGTCGCTTCGGTTTGTTTGTTGAAACTATGTTATGACTCACATTCTATTTAAGAGGGAGTAAACTCACCACATCACCTGCCGAATTGTCTATGTTCCAGTTGCTAATTGTGACGTTGTTGGAGTCCTTTATCCTGCTGCACCTTATTGGACAGTTGAGTATGTTTATGCCTGAGAACACACTGTTGGTCGCCTCGATGCGCAAGAGCAATGGCTTCAAAGAACCCCATATGCCTTGACCGTCCCAGTAGCGTTCTCCCTGACCATCGAAAACCGCACCTATTACATTTTTTTCTGTTAAGTAAAAATATTTTTATAGGGGAGTTTTGTAATGGAAACATTATGGACAAACTAACTCTTCAGCTGTTCTAGATTTATTAGGAAACAAAGGAAACAACATTTCACTGAATAAATAAACTTAACATAAAATAAGTCTTAAATGAAGTGGTTAAAAATTAGAGCTTGGGAGAGTTCTATTATTATGACTGGCTCCACAGTTAGAGAGCTCCATCTAGGTTCGTTTATTTGATTATACTCCATAGTTTATCGTATTTTTGTTTAGGCTCAGCAGATGAAAAGGCACCAGTTTTCTCTGGTTCTTCCCTGTAATCAGTTTCCTTGTCACTTCTACTTATCACTTGTCCCTTCCTTCTCGTCAGCCATTCGCGTCACTGGTTTTATACTGTTAAGTAGTTTGAAAGGGTTGAAACCCCAGCCATTTCCATACTTCCATTCCATTCAATTCCATTATTAAGTGTGGGCTTTTGAATGATATTTCCAAGAAAGCTTCTGGTATGTAGAGAGAGGAATAGAGAATTTCAATAATAGTTACTGAAAGTGAAAAGTATGAAATAGACAAGTACATTGTTCAAGTGTAAAAAGAAACAAAACCTGAACCTGGAAACATCTTCAGTATAAGCATTTTTCAATGCAGTGTAAATGAAAGATTCAAAAAAGTAGATTCCAGAACGCAAGTATTTATAGTATACCGTGTAGCTGCGACAAATAATCCATCAGAAAAATAGGGTCGAAAAATATCAACCAGATCAAAAAAAGCATAAATAAGTATTGCATTCAAATATTTTTTTACCCATTTATAATTACTTATTTTTATACTTTTTTTTATTAAAGAGTTCATCTTAATGGTAATTTTCGATAATTGAAAAACAAACCTGGTGCTGCTATGACTGTGAGTGAACTTCCCGTAATCAGAACTAGCGGTCCACTCCAATTATCAAACCCAAACGAGATATTTCCTCTCAGGGTGAGCGTGGTACCCTCTTGGAGGTTCAGTGTGAGGGTCGTCGAGGCAGGCACGATGAGATCGTCTATGGCGATGTCGGTACAACTGGATACGACAGAATCCACATCTTCATATGTGGATATTACGCATTGTTGTTGGTAACTCAGATAGATCAAATTTAAGAGTATTGTTATGACGTAGATTGTTGCCATTTTAATGCTAAAAGCTGCACGTATAGCTTTAATTTTGTCGCTCCGAGTTTATATAGTCCTTTCTTCCGGCATCTTGCTGATACGATGCCACTCGAAATCGATTGAAGTATCCACGTGTCTAAAGCAATAACCTTGTGGAAAGTTAAGAAGAGGGAAAATCATATCAATTTTTTAAACACAAATTTTTTATCAAACAATAACCAATGCTATTTTGATGCAGATTTGGAAATAAGATTTTGTACGGGATTTTTAGAAACACTTTTCGAATTTTTTGTTGTACGGGATGTTCAAGATATTAAGTGCTATATTCAAAAATTAACAGTTGCAGTTATCGCAGATCTGGCAGAAAGGTAGAAATCCACACCTGTATTTCATCTGTTGAAAAAGCACTTACTCAAATCTCGAAAAGTAGTTTTTCAAAATTTTTGAATTTTTTTTGGTATTTACTATTACCGCGTACTGCATGGTATCAGAGAACAAGTATTTTCTCAAAAACCACTTACTCCATTCGAAAAAATCGTATACCAGAAAACGTGGGAGATCCAGGGCTATAACCTCAATTTCGAACATTGCTTGAATTATGTACAGGGTGCGTCGTTTATAGGCAAAAAAACTGAAACATGCTAAAACTTTCCGTTTTTGTGTGTAAATTATTGGCAATAAATAAAAAACTAGAACGATGCGATAATTTGATTAGAACAGTATCGTAAACTATGTCGAGAGAGAGTTTTAGCTTTCGTTAATTATACAGGGCACGCGAGATATTTGAAAAAATATCTTTCGACAACGCTGATATTTGTACAAATTTTAACATTTAACAAAGTTTGCCGTAACTTTGAATTTCGACGAGGCTTGGAAGACACTTTATACGGGTGAAGAAATCGAAGTTTTCGAAAGTATACGCGCTGGGCAACGAAACTTATATCTGGGCAACGGTAGGTCCTAGGGGACGGCCATTGGTACAGAAATGATCAGCATCGAACAAAAAATTTTTTTTGTCTGTCCGTTCTCCGTTCTCGTCTTTTGGTTTTTCCCGAATAACTTTTGAGCTGCAAAAATTTTCCTCCTTTTTAACCCTCCACGAGATGCATAAGCTTGTAAGAAATGGCCTCGATCCGAAGCCGGTATTCATCTTTTTTTCGCGATTTTCGACTGCTTTTTGCACATTGCTATGAAACACGATATGTGTTGCCGAAATTCTTGAAACTATAACTAATATTCTTCAATTTTTGAAAAATATACAGGGTGCGCCGCAAATTCAAAAAAACTGAACAATGGGTCCCTCCTATTATTAAAAATGTTAAATAATTATAGACGTATAGACGGGAGCAATAAAATAACGCGAAGTATTTTTTTTTTGAATTTTTTTTTTGGTTATTTTAGCTTCCAGAAACAAAACTTTTCCTTCAAAAGCAGTCATCCGATCGGAAAAGTTTTTCAACCGCAATACGTGGGAGACCCGCAGCTATAACTTTAGTCTCACGCATTTTTTCGAATATATACAAAATGTTTTAGTTATGGATAAACATCTAAAAGACCCTGAAAATGTTCTTTTTTAATTACCGTTAACAATGCGAGTAAATTATTAACCGTAAATCAAAATTCGTACCAAAAATAGCTAATCTGTTCAAACAGTGTTATAGGCCGTATCAAGGGCTACAATTTTTGTATTTATCATTTTCGTCTGTCACGCATGCTGCTCGAGATATCTGAAAAAAAAATATTTTAAAATCGCAATTTCTCGCCCTCAATCTAGACACGATGACGTCATTTAATATTACGGTGAACTGCCTGGTTTCAGAGAACAAGTATTTTCTCGAAATCTATTTATCTATTTGGTTAGGATTTCACCTTCCATGTTGTAGCTCCATATTTAGAAGATATGTTTTGACAAAATGATTCTAAGCGGAGACAATTTTAAAGACTTTCATTATGACACCATTACCACGTGGTTCACGAGATTAGAATCGATTATGCTAAGTACATAATTGTTGTCTGGGCTAATTAATGATAACAGGCAGGCCAGAAGATAATTGCTATTCTAGTTAAATATAATTAACAATATTGTGTACAACAGTCTATAATAGAGACCAAAAAAACAAATGCCTTTCTACAAGAAAGAAGTATATAAGAAGTATCGTAAATGAGTGATTTTAATTCCGTGTTACCGTGTAAAAATGTTGTGCGAATCCTTTAATCAATTCTAAAATCACTCGAAACGTCACAGTTTCATTGATAATTAACAACAAAGATAAAATTATTTACTTACAAGATGGGTCCTGAAAAGAAGACGGCAAATTATAGCTAATAAACAATTCATTGGTATTGTAAATTATTTGAAACGCGGTTGAACATTTTTGTGTGGTCTGTGACACGTTTTTATCAGTATTAATTCTGATTTGAACCGATTATTGATCCCAGAAATCTTCAGTGACGATCTTTGGAAATCACAATCTAATTAATAATATTAAAAGCAATGTAAAATTTTCTAAAAAGAATTCTGTTTTTGTAGCAATAGTTTAGGAATTAGTAGACCAGGTCTCCTTACTGTGCCAGAGCATATGAAATGTCCCACATACGTCAGGCTGCACGATCCGCATGCTACGCTGTATACTTCTTGGTTTTCCAGAGTAATTTTTTGTTTTGGGTTTCTTAGTATTGCTCCGATGGTATGATCAGGTTTGTATGTCGTTGATATGTCGTGTTTCCGTAATATTCGGTCGATTTTGTCAGTAACTCTCTTGATGTATGGCAGGACAGTGATCGAACTTTGTTGGGTCTCGTCCTGCACTCTCTGCTGCGCCTGTTGTTGTTTACTGATTGCCTTGCTGATGATGCGCCTTTGTTATCCGTTTTGTCGAAGACAGGTACTAATTTTCTTCAGTTCCTCATCTCTGTTCTTCTCGTTTGTGAGCCTGAAGGACCGAGCAATTAATGTATTTGCCGCTGCCTGTATCTGTGATGGGTGGTGATGAGATTTTGCGTTCAGATATCTATTAGTGTGTGTTGGTTTTCTATAGACAGTGTGTTCCAAGTGTCCATCTTCGGTCCTTGTGATGTGCATATCTAAAAAGGGCAGACTATTACCGTCTTCAAGTTCAATAGCAAATTCAATCCTTGGGTGAATGGAATTCAGATGATCTAGGAATTTCAAAAGCTCCTCCTTGCCAAAAGGCCATACAACAAATACGTCATCAACGTATCTTGTCCATAGTTTTGGCTTTCGATTTGCCTTCTCTGTTGCTTTCTTTTCGAAGTAAATCATGAAGAGGTTGGCAATCACAGGTGAGAGAGATGATCGCATTGCTGCCCCATCTACTTGTCTGTAAATTTTCCCGTTGTACATAAAGTAAGCATTTTTCAGGCAATGTCTTGACAGGTCCGTTATGTACAGCGTAGAAGCAAGAGTGCCTCTTCTACTGGAATGCTCGGGTATAGGGATTTGACATCGAAACTTGCCATAATGTTGTCCTTGTCCATCCTGAGAGAACCTAAAATCTGAGTGAAATGTTCTGAATTTTTAACATAGGAATCTACCTTTTCCACTATGGGTTGAAGTGCACAGACCAGATGTTTTTCCAGCTTGCATAATGGTGAGTTAAAGGCGCTTACGATTGGACGCATTGGAACCCTTCCTTATGGATCTTTGGGAGCCCGTAGAATTTCGGGGCAGCGACTCGATTTTTCCCTCGGAATAAGTTTCTTCTTTGTATCCTCGTTTATTGATGATTTAGTTGTGGTATGTTGTGGGATCTCTGGTGACTCGTTTGTGTATTGGGTCGTTCAAGATATCCAATTTTGCATTATAATCCGACGTATTCATGACGACAGTGGCATTTCCTTTGTCTGATGGCATTATTAGAATATTTTCGTTTTTGTTTAGATTCTTTAAGGCTTGCATTTCTTCTCTGCTTAAGTTTGGTTGCGGTGGTTTTGACAGTCTTAAGACTCTGGCGACTTCTTGCCTAATTAACTCCGCATCTTGTTCGTCTATGGTGGAAAGATTTGCTTCGACGTTGGTAACGATCTCTTCGACGTTGGAAACGATCTCTTCGACGGGTACTCTTTTTGGAGCTATTGCATAGTTAAATCCTATATTCAGTTCGCTGACTTCTGTATCGGAAAAAAGTAAAAGTAAAAAGTATGCTGCTGATAATAACTACTCCTTCCAAGTTGCCCAGCTGACGACCACCGTGTTGTAAGTGAACTTTTAAATGAAGAGTGAGAAGTCAATATAATTTATGTAAAAGATGAAATTTTAATACTTTGTATTTGTAAAAGTCTAATTCGGTAGATATGATATTCAAACTTATGAAATAGATTTACTAGTTGAGCCAAATCAATAAAATATTTGCATGCATCTAATAGATGCAGCAGTATGCAAATAATAAGTGTAGAAGCTAGTTTTCTCTCACTTGTATATTTGTATATATTTTGTTTTATTTTATAAACCTAAAGGCTAACAACAGACAGACGAGGCTGCCCAATTACGGGGTAGCACATATTAAACATAAGATTGCAAATACAAATACAAATACAAAAGAAACTTAACTATATATTTCCTAAGCAAATGAAGATTAATAAAAAGAATGTTACAAATTTTTGTATACGTTTTTTTTAAACAAATGTAGGCTTAAGTTGAATAATTTATAAAACTGCAGGCTATTTTAACACGTGAACTAGTGTCTCTCTCTATTATATCTAAAATTAAGATTTCTAAAAAGCTTTATTTGGATCCTATCCGATTGACATACTTTCCACGATTGAATTGATGGCTATTATAAATTAGAATGACTGATTTGTAGTTACGAAAACCTTTGGTGTTATGTAATACAAAACCAAGATTTTTCAAGCACTTCTTTACAATATTTTCCACATGTTCAGATGTTAACTCAGCGTCCAGTATGATGTCTAACTCTTTAACTTGAGTTACTCTCTTAAGTTTTATATTGTCTAATTTTAAGTCAAGTCTAATGTACTATTTTTTCATTGTAAACCGTATTATTTG